ATTATTACATCATCAACCCAAGGAAGATCTTGTTTCGTCTCTTTAATCTTCTCTTTAATAATTTCTCTGAGCCTGTTAACAGTCGTTTCAGAATCTAATTCTACTGAAAAAATATTAGTAATGTCTGGAGTATCTCCATGAATAAGACAGTTAAGCTCAATAGTAGACATGCTTTTGAGCTATAACAGTATATTTTAATTATCAAAATCATATATCTAAATTACGTAACTTACATACTTTGAGACTAGAGTAATACAACTGTTAATGAGTAAATAATGATAAAAAAATAGGAAAATGTTAGAAATTATTAGAAATTACTTGTTTATACAAACATAACAAAGCCTTTAAAAGTATAAGGAATATTAATTACGTAGTTAATATCAAAAACCGATGATAGAAGATCTAAAAAAAAACTTTTCTATGTTACTTTAAAAATGGTTCACCGTATTTAACTGCAAATAAGAAATGCCTCTTACTACAGTACCTAAAAATTTAATGCAAGAATCCTAAGCATGTTACGTAGTAACCCGTCCCAGGAACTTAGTTTTTTTTCAAATTTTTTATCATCCCTATTTTGTGCTAGTGATACGAACCAAAAAAGGGATGGTTGTAAAATAAAAACCTGGCACTTTACGAAATTATCCGATATAAAAATTGATAAATGCGATGACAAAGACATGAAAATAAAAAACCAGCTATCTCAACCAATCTGTTGCTAATAATGGAAATTATTTTTGCATGACAAAATAGTTCGTCAATGGTTTCATCTGACAAAATTTTGACAAAATTTTGACAATTGATGAAATTATTGACGAAATTATTGAAGAAATTAAACCCTAATATTTTAAGGTGATGCTCGAATGCAAATGTCCCCTTTATGCAATACGATCAGACAATAGATCAAGAATACTAATGCGCTGATATAATGTTCTTTTCTTTATTTCATTTTGCATGATGACCGTATTTTCCAATAACAAATAAATTGAGATTAGCCAATTTTCCCATTACTGTATCGTCTCTCTGTGCATTTTACCAATCACATGAATGTAGGAAGTGATAAGTTGATACACATAGCTCACCGATGTGGCCAGTGTTGGAAATCATATGTCATTGTGTTCACAGTGAACATAAATTTTTTAAAAAAATCCCCAATTTTTTTATTTTATATTTAATTAATAAAATTTTATTTGTGAATATAAAAAAAAAAGTATGATCACAAAAATCACTATATTGCCTTTTGAATTTCCAATACTGCGTGCGACGGGTAACACAAAGAATACCGGAAGTCAGTTTCTTCTGGGTTTCCTTATGTCAAGCAAATTCCGGGCTGCAGGTTATTTCCGATCAAAATCCTTTTAAAATTTTTAATTTCTTTAAACTTTTAGCGAAGATTCTCAATAACTATTCGATCAAATTTAGTAAAAATTTTTATTTTGATTTAATATATTTGTAAAATTTAAATAAAAATTCATTGAATTTTGTTTAGTGGATATCGAGAATCCTTCGCTAGAAGTTTAAAAATTTTAAAATATCGAAAAGTCAAATTGACAAAAAAAAACTTTAAACGATAATTTCTTAACAACCTTCTATTTTAATTCTGCGAGCTTGTAGATTAAAATAAATAAAAAAATTATCGAATTAGAATAGATGGATGAAAAATATCGATCAAAGTTTTGAAAAAATTTTGCCACAGCTTTTTTTTTTTACGGATACCTATAATTTCTCAACAATCATCCATCCAAACTTAATGAATTTTTTTTATTTTGATTTTACAAATTTGTAGAATTAAAAAAAAATTATCGAAGTTGGGTTGAGAAATATCGATTAAAAGTTGACCTAAACTTTGAACAAAGTTATTCGGCACTTACTAAATTCGGGTCATGCTATAGGAATAAACAACCTTGGATATTGTTATAAAAAAGGAATTGTTGTTGAAAGGATAAATATAAAGCATTTATTTATTATCAAAAATCTGCTGATTTGGGTAATGCTAGTGGAATATACAATCTTGGATATTGTTATGAAAACGAATTGGAGTTGAAAAGGATGAGCATATGGCATTTATATTTTATCAAAAATCTGCTAATATAGGCAATACTGATGGTATATATCAAGTTGGTTATTATTATCATCATGAAATTGGAGTTAAAAAGATGAACAGAAGGCACTCACTTATTATCAAAAATCTGCTGATATGGGCCATGCTGTTGGGATGAATCAAGTTGGTTATTGTTACCAAAATGGAATTGGGGTTGAAATTGATGAGCATAAGGCATTCATTTATTACCAACAATCTGCTGAAATGGGTAGCGACACAGGAATGCATAATCTTGGATTTTGCTATGAAGCTGAAATTGGAGTTAAAAAGGATAACGATAATGCATATGTTTATTATCAAAAGTCAGCCGATATGGGTAATATTAGCGGAATAAAAAGACTTGGATATTGTTATCTTCATGGAATTGGAGTTGAAAAGGACGAATATAAAGCATTTATTTGTTATCAGAGATCTGCTAATATGGCGCTAATGAAATAACGCCTTGACTATTTATTAAAATGGATTTGGGTTTAAATAGACAGGCATAAGGCGCTAATGAAATAAGCAGCCTTGCATATTGTTATAAAATGGAAGTGGGGTTGAAATGAATAGGCATAAGGCAGTTCTTTTTTATTAATGTATATGAATATCTATACGATTAGAATTGTGGTTGACGCCATAAAGCATATACTTATTTTCGAAACTAATGATTTGAAGTTAAAATGAACATTCTTGGCTGTTGTTTGTAAAGATGGAATTAAAATTATAGGAAATTAAGGAGGTAAATGTTAATACGAAAAATTATCACAATTTCATCTGTATTCTTTACATTCCACAATTATTACAATCTGTACGTTAAATAATTTTGCTAGAGAAAAAATTAGATTAAATTTATCATAAGAAATTTCCGCAAATTGAGATTAATTTATTATTGAATTTTTGTAATCCTTTGAGTTAATGATGACTTATATTTCAATTTTTCATAAGTCTGCAATGGTTGGATAAAATCTACCGCTAATAATAACCAAAGCTCAGACATTTTTATTATATGGGTTTCAGGGGAAATGTCGTCGTTACCAAATACTACTATGCTGCTATTCGCACTAAAACACTTGCAGCAAATAAAAAATGTTCGGAAACTAACATGAAAAAGCAAACACCCACAATCTTTTTTAGCTATTAATTATTTATTTTTTTATGCATGTAGATATATTTTATTATAAACGGTTACTATTTTACCTAGTGATATTAGTCATTAATGATAAAACCGGCTTGAGTCGGCTAGTCGACTTAGCCAAGCCGATTTTTACAGAGCCGGCTCTAACCGTATACAAGTAACACAAACTTAAAAAATAAAATAGCCAATCGGAAGACAGGAATTTCCAAAATACTCTTTTTGAAAGACAATTAAAATAAAATATATACTTACATAGAAATTAATAGATCAAAGCCTTTAGTAAAAATTAAGAATCTCGATTAAATAATTTCGCATAATGTAATAATAAACTATATATATTTATTTACTTAAATAGATCAAAGCATTTAGTAAAAATTAAGAATCTCGATTAAATAATTTCGCATATATTTATTTATATCGCTTAAATAGATCAAAGCATTAAGAATCTCGATTAAATAATTTAGCATAATCTACATATATTTATTTATATCGCTTAAATAGATCAAAGCATTTAGTAAAAATTAAGAATCTTGATTAAATAATTTCGCATAATGTAATAATAATCTACATATATTTATTTATATCGCTTAAATATGTAGATCAAAGCATTTAGTAAAAATTAAGAATCTTGATTACATCGCTTAAAAATATCTGTAAATCCTGATACAAAATAATTGGTAATTCATTTTGCAAAACATTATTTTAGTTAAACTATCACACAAATTATCAATTCGTCTGGATGTTTATATACTCATCCTGATTATACACTAGCGTGAGAAAAAGTTTCAGTTCAAATATTGTAATAATAAGTGTAATAATAAGTGTAATTAATAGGTGCTAACCAAACAAAGTAAAATGTCTAAAGTCCTTAGTCAAGTTAAAAATAATAAAACTAAAATAGGCAAAGTATTAAATGGGGCTGTGCTAATATACATGAAATAACTTAAATTTCATATGAAAAAAACAGAATAAAAACAATCAAATATTATAAAATAGAAAAATTTGATACTACCGCAAAGCCTCAAAGGCAATTAGTGTAGATTTATCAGGCTAAAAGAAAATATCAATTTCGATCTCATTAGTAAAAAAAAAATAATAAAATTGATTTAAATTCAAACCAAAATTCCGTAAATTCTTTTTTTTGTTGGCTATGTAAGATTGTTATTATGGATCAAGACAATTCTTCTACGTTTCAATATAATTCAGAA